ACACGGTATATATCTCTATTCAAATGCAGTTCATGTCTATCCATTATATAAGAATGGGTTGTAAAAATGTACGTTTTAAATCAATCCAAAGCCTCGTTGAAATACCAAAGGCAACATAGTCAAGTGTTGTCCCTATCAGCTCCCAAATTTAGTAGGAGCAAATGCCTGGGAAGATGCATTGTTAATGCCATTAACTGGTGTCTGCTTTTGTTCTTCTTGGAGCAATCTTCTCTAGAACTAGTCAGCATTATAGTTTTTATTCAATCAGAACAAAGTGCACTACATTTCTTTCTATCTACCCATCCATAAAAAGGCTGCATTGTAAAGAGCTGCAGGTAATAAGTGTTATTCTTCAGAAAATTCACTGTTCTAGAAAGCCAAGAATCTTTCTCCCAATGTTTACCTTGAGAGTCTGGCAAACTTGATGCAGGATGGCTTATTTCTAGGCCCAAGTCTGGGACATCTTTATATTTCTAGTCTCTTCCTTGCAATCTCTGTATAGCTCATGGACAACCCTATGTCATTGATGTTCTCCACCCATCTCTTTGAAAAAAAAAACTACACAAGTAAGAGATAGATTTAAAGAGTGAAGAAAGCAAAAAAAAAAGAGTGGTTGTTTGTTTTCAGTCAACTTTAAGATAAATTGGACAGAACTGCAGTCACAACTAAAAAATAATAATCTCTGGAAAATGTGTGGCATATGCTTGTGGACATATGTATGATTGCAGAAACATACATAGGATCCTTTACTTAAAAAGGCATTATCTTTCCAACATGTTAATGAGAACATCTGTGTAAAAAGCAAAGGATACAGAATCATTTCCTTCAAATATTGTGAACTACAATTCTCAACAGCACAAGGTAGGATGACCATCCATGAAGAATGTGTAGAGTTGTAACTCAGCTACATCTGAATGACCCCATGTTTTTAGGACATAAGTAACAACTTGCTACCTACAAGCACATATATCATTTCTGTATATTCTTTATAAGTAGCAGGATTTTGTTGCATATCTATTTTTGGATTCATACCAAGATAAGCTTAGAGGCAAAGGACTACCCTGTCGCAACTGACCATATAGGGTGTGTTATGTCTGGGAGATCGGTCCCGGGTAGATCGGTCCCGGGTAGATCGGTCCCGGGTAGATCGGGTTGCATAGAGACGCGAGACTCACATTCAGCTCTTTATTGAATATACAGTTCAGTCCAGGACCGGCGAGCCGCTTGGCTTTATTCAGCCAGCCGGCGGCTCGGCGGTCAATGGCAGCGCTTTGAATTTCCCGCGATCGGCTCGGCCAATCGCAGTAGATTCTTAGCACGCCAATCACAGTCGTTTAGTTAACCAATCGGGTTGCGGTCCGCGTGGACCAATCAGAACTCAGGATTTGGAGAATGTTAATATAGAACAGGGTGGGCATTTTGTTCTCTCAGTTCCCAGCCACTGATTTTTCAGGAGGATTCATCTTTTGCAATGAGAGGGTCAAAGTTCTCCGCTGTGCCAAAATATCATCTCTGCTGCTTCTCTTGACAACTCATGAATGTCAGCAGGGGTGAAAAGGGAAGGAGGGAAAATGGATCTTTGAGATACTAATTCTCCCATCACTGAAAAGAACCCATTATAAAGTTATGGCTGAAAAGCTAACTTTGTTTATACACAAATGGGAATGGAAGTGCTCTTCCCCTGTCCCAACCTCTCTGACAAAATAATGTGTAGTTTTAAGGAAGAGCTGTTCCTTTTCATGGTATTCCCTTCTCCTAGTGCTTAAATGATGCAGCACCTATTCTGGGAGAGGACAATGTTTATATAAATGTCCAGAATTGATCTTTGTTTGCAATTTGGATCTATGTTTTTATTTCTATATGGCTGCATTAAATCACCTTGTTGCAGCTACCACTAGGTGGAACTCCAATATACACGAGATCCCAAAAGTATTACAAGTTTGCCTGAAACAAGTGTTTTTATTTGATCAGGGATGTTGCCCTTTAGACCAGCTGTTTGGAGTCTAAGCTTTGAGGTATCAATTGTGTGGATTTAGGAAAATCTCACTGAGAAAGAAATAAAGGAAAGTAACAAGGTATCGATAGTTTTCTTTGTCTTTATAATATACTATTTTTTTCTATCCCATCATCAGGATTCTTTAGAAATTCTTTTGGTGCTATTTTTAAGTTTTATATTGTTGTGAGTTTGCAGAATATATTGCTTTTATTGCTTTAAGCTACAGCATGGGCATTTTTACAAGAATTCATGGCATAGCTCCCAAATCAGCTCGACTTCTACAATTGCTGCCACCATCTGTATTTACCAGCTGAGCTGTTTTATTTCTGACTTAATTATACAGTATCCAAAACTGCAGGAAAAATAGGTGGAAAATGCTTTGCAAAACCTGAAGGCAGTGTATCATCCTCTTGGTGGTACTTGTGTTACTCTGCCTCTCACTTCATCACAAAGCAAAGAGAGGGAGGTACTCAAAACAGCCCAAACATAAAATCTTCTGCTATCTGGTATATAAGAGATCCAGAAGTCAATGGAAAACCTTCAGGTGGATATTGAAACTCTTGGTTTGTTAGCCATATGTGATCAATTTTATGATGGAAGCACAGCATAATCACAGCCTATACTTGATGTCCATCAGTCTAGCTGTCTTGTGTCCTGGAAGAGGTTCCAACATGATAGCAACAAGCCTTTTTCCCAATAAATGACCCATTCTGAAAGTACCAGGGTGTAGCAATGGCACAAGACAAAATATTAAATGGAAGAGCCATGCTAGCCATATATGGGGATTCCTAATCCTTGTGCAGTCAACTGGTCAACTGAGTGTTCCAAAATCCATGGGGAAATGTAGTGGGGGGGAAAGACAAAACACAAGAGAGTGATGCCATTGCAGACATGGGGCAGAGAAAGGCCTGAGAGAAGGAGATGACCCTGGAGTGGCATATTCAATATGAAGTAGCAGAAGTTACAGAGTAAATTGTGTCCAGGTTTCTCCACTTGAGCATCAATGCACCACATACCAACCACATACTATGAAATAAGGTGAGGATGAAGGGAGAAATCAGAGGTCTCAAATTGTTCAGTACACTGGGGACAGTCTACTGTCCCCAGCAGTAGACTGATCTTGAGGTGCAGGTAGGGCAAGTGGATGTATCACCCAGGAATGTTGGCTGAGGCACCCTTGTGACAAAGAAGTGAAGTTATATGGCTATGGCCTCAAAGAAGTGGCAGGCTTCCTTTTGCAAATTGTAGATTTGTAAATTGTAGAAAGATTAGACATCCATCTGTTGATATTATTTTAATCTGAATCCCTGCACTGAGCAGCGGGTGGCCACTATTTTTCATGGCTCTTCCTCTAACCTTCTGCTTCTATTGCTGTCTTTCAAATCACAACAGCCATCTGGCTTCCTTCTAAGGTAACAAGTAAGGAAGCTATATAGAATTTATATAGCTCAAAGCTATCCTCAGATGGTAACAGAATAAGAGGGAAATTCTATTTTAATCACAAGACAATTTTAAAAAGCAGGCACCAGCAATGGAGAGATGCTTACTTACACTATCCTGGATTTATAATTTATAAATTTACACACAGGTCATCCTCTACTTACAATGAATCATTTAATGATAGTACGACAGCCTCAGAAAAAGTGATTTATGACATGTCCTCTCACGGCCATTGCACCATCATCCTGCACTCACATGCTCACAATTTGGGCAATTGGCAACCAGCTGATATGCACAATGGGTTGCAAAATTCTACTGTTGAATAATCATAATTTGCAATCTTCCCAGCTAGTTTCTGATTTTAAAAAATGTCAATTGGGAAAGCTGGATTTGCTTAACAATCAAGTCATTCACTTAATGACTGTGGTTTAAAAAAATTGTATGTGATGACTTACTTTAAAAAGGCAAAAGTTCCCCCACACATGTGTGCTAGTTTTTTCCGATTCTAGGGGGTGGTACTCATCTCCATTTCTAAGCCAAAGAGTCAGTGCTGTCCGAAGACGTCTCTGTGGTCATGTGGCTGGCATGACTAAACACCAAAGGCACACAGAGTGCTGTTCCCTTGTCACCAAAGTGGTACCTATTTTTCTACTTGCATTTTTTACATGCTTTCGAACTGCTAGGTTGGCAGAAGCTGGGATAAGTAACGGGAGCTCACTCTGTTATGCTAGGGATTTGCACTGCTGAACTGCTGACCTTCTGATTGACAAGTTCAGCATCTTAGCCACTGAGCCACCATGTCCCTTAATGACAACCCCAATTTACAAAGGAAATTCTGGTCCCAGTTGTGGTCATAAGTCAAGGACTTCCTTAAGACTACTATTGGATGGTACCAAAATAAGTGGAAAATTCTACTAAGATGATATAAGCAGTCTCTCTCACGTATGAACTGAGGCAAGTTTAAGACAATCCTGCAGGGATTGATAGAAAAAATATGTGCAAACTTTGTGCTGTGTTCAATTTGTTGCAAGGACTCCCGATGTGCCAGTTGAAATGATGAAAAGAAAGAAGAAACATCTTGCAAAATTCTTCTCCAATACACTTGCTTTTTTATTGTTAATGCAGAAAATTCTTTGAATATGCATACATTTATATAAATATATATATACACACACATACACACTACACACACACAAACATTCATACATTCATACACATCTATTGTTGTATAAAATAAAGAATGAACATAGTGTGATCTTTCATGGGTGAGTCAGACATTATTTCAAAGAAAGCCTAGGCCACTACTCAGTACAAGTATACATCATACCTGTCCCAGCACAATAGATTTCTTGCAGTATCTCCTTATGCTTGCAAGAAGCATTTTCTTTTTTTATTTAGAGGGCAGAAGGAATCCCCAAAGGGATAATTTTCCAAGATTCAACATTTGATAGAAAACAGAAATGGGGAAAGAACAGACTTTTTAAAAATATTAAATGACACAAGAGGAATGGAATATTTTAAAAGAGGCAGCTGATCTTCCATTCACTGAAAAGTGGGTAAGTCTTCACCACATATAGGAATCATCAAACCTATGAAAAAGAAAGACAAAACTAAAGTAAACCTCTTTTTTAAACCTTATTTCAAAGGAAGACTATCTCTATACTACATTATTGAATTAATAGTTTGCTAGTGATGTAATTATAAATTGATTCTTGACCTTGTAAGGTTTGGTGGCATTCTAAATCTGAATAAACATTGACCCATGTAGATAAATGAATGGGTACAAATGCCATTTTTTTCTGGGATTAGTTTGCATGGATTAATAGCAGCATTATCCAATTTATTTATTTATTTGTGTCAGAAGCATCACAATTAAAATAAGGCATACTATACAGCATAAAATTTAAAATATAAAAAAAGATTAAATATGTACAAATTAAATAGATCTTGCCGGAAACTAGCAATAGTAATTATGTTATTCAATGTAATGCTAAAATATATATAAAAAATCATAAATTGTGGTCCCCACAACACTAAAACAGGACCAAACTGAGAGACTGCTGTACAGAATCTCTCTCTATTTAGATTAGCTAGAAAGCAGGAAATTGTTGCATTTCTTGCTTTCTAGCTAATCTTTAGATCTTCAGCTCTGCTTTTAAGCAGCCCTGAACCTTCCTTAGGACTGAAGCTTCTATTTTTCAGTGCAGACTCAGGTAGCCAATGGCAGAAACAAAGAAATCTGAGTGTGATTCTGGGAGCAGCTCAATCTGCCTGCCTGCTTTGCCTGATTTTGGGTAAAAGTTGCTCTTTTAAAAAAATAAAAAAATAAATATTGACATAAATATTTATAATATTTACATACAAGCCATGCCAAGCCAGTCATGTGACCACCAAGCCACACCCAGATTAGACCACGCCCAAGAACCAGTTGTTAAGGAATTTGAATCCCACCCCTGCCTCTGTGTGTGTGTGTGTGAGAGAGAGAGAGAGAGAGAGAGAGAGA